AGTTGCGAGGAATCTTGTTCCGTCGCGTCATCTGCAGGGGTGGATCTACTGCAAATTCTCGTGGAAGCGCAAGCCAAGTTGGCTGCGTCATGGCAGTACCAGACCCGCAATGCCAGATGAGCTGACCGGTGTTCGCGATAACCAGGGCCGTGTCTGTATGACACTTACTCCCTTTTGACACGTGCCCATGGTCTTGTACTGATTCGTCTCGACCGAGAACGGCTCTCGCGAAAGAGATCGCCGAACCTGCACTTATGGATTCTGTTCCAACAGTTCGATACGCCCAGATCCCGAGATCCTGGATTGGCTCGCCGAAGACGACGACGATACGTTTTGCAGTGCCGAGGTTTTGCGAGGCCAAAATTGGGACGTGCTGTTCCTTAGGGCCGGCATTGAGAGGGAGCCGAAGTGTCGACAGACCAAGAGCCTGGAGACGGGAAAGAACGATGCGGCGAATGCAAGCTGCTTGACCTTAGCATTCATCGCTTCAACCAGTTATCTAAGTATGGGCTAGGCAGTTGTATCGCCAGAAGATATCTGTACGAACGGATGAAAAAGTGTGGAATCAAGACATACTATTCATCGCCTCCCTCTGCAACTCGTTCCACCGATCATTAGTGCTGATTTTGAACTGGAATTCCTCCTCCGGGTTGGCGATCTTCCTGATCTGATCCTTGTCATTGATGAAGTATCTGTCGTCGTATTCTCAAATCAGCTTCGAGCTCGCTATACCTCGTATGCTTGCCGATGCAGAATAGGAGCAACACAGGCCGGAGGTAAATGGAGAGATGAGTCTTACCCGAGCTTCTCCAGATCTGCAGGAAAGACAGGATCCTTAGGGAGATTCTTGCGGGTGAAAACAAGCATTTTGGCAGAATGGGTGAGATGATGAAGCAATGAATTAAATAGATCACAGGTAAGACGGTCCAAGACTGACCATTAAAGGATGAGAGGGGAGTCCAACCAAACTTGAAAGAGACAGAAACGTGAAAGTCCAAGACATCTAGCACGTTTAAAAGAAATTAAATAGACAGGATATTGAGCAGAGAAGCACAGTGACTGGGTCATTTGTAGTGAAGGAGGCTGCGTCTTCCCGTAATGAGGTGATGGCAAACAGAACAGCCCGGAAAACAAGTGAAGCCACACGAAAACAAGAAACCCAATACCTCATTTTAGACCAGGGAAACAGTGAGATTCCTAATGAATAGTAAATAGCCGGGAATTTCCTGGGAGGTAAAAAAGAACTGACCAACGTCGACAAAACAGGACAATTCAGACCCTTCCCAGCCAACTCTCACAATCTCACCATTCACACTATCAAAAAGGATAACCCGAAGGTTAGACGCATAAAAAGATGTCCTTAAAGATTCAAGATTGCTGTATACCATTTTATCTATTGTACATCCGTGAAAACGCCCATATCTAGACCCAGAATGTATTTGAAACGTATACATCGTCCTAATCGATACACCTGATCTGCGAAAGCTATGACCGGAGAAACTTCACCAACTGGCTTTCTTGACGCCAGGCAATTCGCCTGCCAATGCTTGTAGACGGAATTGATACTATAGCAAGACGAATGTGAGAATCAGCCTCGGGCAATCCAAGCGACACGGCAACAATTTAAACACGAATTCATCCGGCACTAAGGACCATGAAGAGAAGAGCCTTACCCTTCCTAATCTGAAATCACGGAAAACACTCCTCGCTGTCCCTCCGGCTACACAGCGGTTCTTGATCTGCGTAGAGCGAGTGTAGGCATGCATCTGGGAGAGCTCGAGCTGTGCTTGGGCGCGAACACGCCAAGGGAGGCTGGTGTTGCGAACCACGTAGCGGAGGGCTTGTCTAATCGAGTTAAACGTAAGGAAGGAAATTAGCCGCTTGTCAAAAATCAAATGCATTGAAGAAAAGGACACAATGGTCATGCCCAGGTATAGTTCTGCGGAGAAACGGAGCTGAGAGTATCTTACCGCTGCGGCTCATACTGCTCGAACACCTTCCGCTTGGTGTGGTCGCGGATGACGCGAGCGTTGATAAATCCGCTGATGTCTAGTCGCTTTGCTCTGAATTGCGACATCTTGGGCAAGCAGTATGGATTGTCTGGGGATGGACGATGAGATTGAATTGATGGATCCGTGTTGACCTGCAGCTGCGAAAATATGTTCACCCGATCTGGACTAGCGTGCTAACGTGCCGGACCGATAGAGCACCCCTCGATGAGATTACGGTGGATTTTGAATTACTTTGTTTTTGTGTTTTTTTTGACAATTTTGGTATGTTAATTAAAGTATGGTACTTCTGCTACTAGCGATGCTTGTGACTGTCCGTTTGAATCGGCGTCAACTTCTATTCCATCGGAAAAATACGGTCTGTTGCCGTAGCTGGTGGCCGGCTGAGAGATATAGATATACTAGAGCAATTGCCCCCCAATTTCTTACGGTCACAGAGGGAAACACTACTACTAAATGATAGTAATGGCCGGGTTCGTCAATCATATGGTAAATGAAACGGGAAGAGCGGATCTATCGCGTCAGGACATACGAGGATATACGAACAGCAGACACTGTCAAAGAGCACAAGGAACTCAATTGTAGTGATACAGTTTGTTTCCGTCAAGAGATACTCTGATGGAAGTCTATATTCTCTGTACAGAGGATCCACGGCGCAGACTCGCCAAAGCAGTCAGTCAATGGCCGTCTAGAAAGAAACATCGCCACGAAGTTCACGTCCCTCAACACCAGATTCCACTGTCCCTTTCATCTAGTGCTTCTCACCCGGCTTGGGGATCTTGGCGTTCGGGTTCCGGGGGTCGTTCTTGAACTCATCGGCTGCAACAGAATGCTTAGCACAGATCAAAACTCGGAATGCCATGACAGGAGGCAAAGCAAGGACCAAAGTCCGAGATTGGCCTCATTGTCGCCTCATTGGGTATGATTCTTCGAGACAATACTCACTGTTCATCATGACGTTCGCGAAGGAGTTGACACCGTAGAGGATGATCAGGCCTTGTCGCACATCGTCAGTACCGACATCAATCAACACGCAGACTCAATTGGCCCAAGATCCGCGAAAAAATAACAAAACATGGCCTCAAAAAGGACAGATTGGAAGGAATCGGCATACCGGCAGCAAAGAATGGTCCCATAGGCTTGGCTGTAGGGAGATCGGCTTGTCAGTAACATTCTCATTCAAAGACCATCGAAACCAAGGGAACGACCGAAAACACTTACCGACCGGCGTCGGGAACTTCTTCGGGAGGAGAGACATGGTGACAGACAGTGTGATCGCGCGACACGTAGAATTCGCGATAACTTTGGGGGTGTTGGAGTTGATAGAGTGGGAGCGGCGAAGACGATCGGAAGAGACGAGGTTTGGTATCCGGAAGTCCCAGCCAGTCCGGTGCCGCCTGAAGCAGAGACTCCTAGCCGCTTTAAGCAGCCCACACGAATATGCCCCTCGGGCCGTGTAAACAATATCAATCAAGGACGTTGACGACGTGATAACAATTGGGCAATAATTCGCATTGCCTTTTGTAGATTTTTTGAGCCTTCTCGCTCCTTTGACATCTATCTATAATGGCGGATTCTCTCTCTTCTTCCGTGGCTTCTCTCCGATCATCGCTACAGCTGCTCGAGTCGTCTATCGACATTCTCGACTCGGGCGTCAACGACTTTCCCAGACTGGCCAAAGTCTTGCAGACGACGCGGGTAAGTGATGAATTTCTTTTTTTTTTTTAAAAAAAGTGCTACGGTGCGTTAATTTCTAACAATGTCGTGAACGCTATAGCATTTCGAACTCCTTCCTGAACCGACTCTGCGCGAGGCACAACAGGCGCTCTTGAACGAAATCACTCCAAGCATTGCACACCTGCTCTCCCTCGCCTCAAACTATGTGGAACGGCTTGAACGTCGGGCGGACTCTCTGCGGGCGAAATGCCAGCTGCAGGAAGGCAGGATGTCAGAGCCAAGTCATAGTCATAGCGGCGGCCGCGGCAGTGGCAGTGGCAGCGGTGCGAGTCGACGGATCGGCACCACCCAGATGTCAAGCGATGCGAGTGCAAAAGCTGCCGAATTGAGGAAACTCGTCCAAAAGAAGGAACGGTTGAAGTACGCTGTGGACAGACTCGAGCTGCAGAGTCGCCAAAGAGAGCGAGAATTGAGGAAGAGTATGGCGGCTCATTGAACCGATGCCATGCGTACATACATACATGTGTAAACGCGGCATATGAATGGATGGCGACATTTGCCATCGAGACAAGCGACGACAGAAACAAAGCCCACGCGACAATTGCCACTAATTTTGGAGTGGCGTTGTCAAATTCGCTCTCCTGGGCTGCATCTGGCTCTTTGTATCTTGCCAATCACGCATTGGCTATGCTCTCCAATATGCAATCCAGGTGTGAAAGCCACCCTACAACGAGCCATCAAGGGCCATCCGACGTGTCTCCGCCCAATTTGAAGGAACTGCGAGGATTAGATGAGACAAAGGGAGGAGATACAAAATCCTTAGCCGATCCTTTGAGTGGTGAATCATCTATGGGCCGAATTTCAAGGTTCGTGGTTGAGTCATCTATGCAGACTCAAAGGCGATTCCATTAGGGTACCTGATACGGCACGGCCTTGGATCGCAATTGGCTATATCCAAGATGTTGGGGAAAGGGGGGGAAAAAAGAAATCAATCTATCACACAGTTGATGAATGGCATGGATTAACCATGCTCGAGTCTTGTGAAAATAGTTATTTTGAATCTCAGATCAATGATGGTGATGGTGATGGATAAGAGAGGTATATTTAGCATGATTCTACTATACATACATAAATGAACAAGACTGAGTAGTGTGTGCTCCACAGCTATTGTACAGTCCTTTTTACACCTTGGGAAATCCAGCCCGGTCCCGATCCCATACGCCGTAGTTTGTCTTTTTATAGAGAACAGATGCAGGTATGTTGTATAGCCCAAACGTATCAACAGATACCGTACCTCACGTTAGTGGTTCTTGAACCCCACCACTCCAAGTAACAAGAACGATATGGTTATAATATTTCAGAGATTTAAGCAGTTTCCGGAAGTCCAGCACTGCCCTTCTCGAGGCTCTCAGCGGAAGCTTTCTTGGAGGCTTGCCTAATTCGTTTCTTATCAGCCTGCTTCTTCCAGCTAGGGACCGTCTTGCCCTTCTTCCGCTTCTCGATAGACTCGGCCTGCTCGGCAAGAGCGCTGATTAGGGCGGGATTGTACGTGTCTTCCTCCTCTGGCACAGAAGGGAGGTCATCGCCTTCTCCATCCTTCTTAGGAACCTTGCTAGCAGCTTTTCGTTCCTGTCTTTCCTTCTTGCTGTCCTCCTCCTTGGGTTTTCCAACTTTCAAGTTCCGAGGCACTCGCGTCTTCGCACCAAGTGCCCACAGGTCTCCCCACCTTGCCTTGCGTGCATCGCGGTAAGCCCGCTTGCTGAAGGAGCGAGGCACAGTCCAGCGTTCGATCTTGCCTTCCGGCGTGCAGAAATCGAAGATGACATGACCCTTCCGTTTCAGAGGGGGCAGAATAGCACGGGGAAGTGACAACGTGTTGAAGGTAGGTGTATCGTCTGAAGCCGGCTGACTTGACGAACCATCCGACGATGTGGCTGTTGCTTCGGATGCTGTCGAGCTTCCATCTGTCTCCTGAGGGTAATCTTCATAGCCTTCGAAAGCGGCTTCGGTGGCCTTAGGTCCTTGAATAATTCCCTGCGTCTGCCGTAGATCGACACCCCTTTGGACAGCAATGTAGCTGAATTCCACATCCTCGTGATTACGGTCCTTGGCGCCAATAATGCGTTGCAGGAACTGGGGTCTTATGTACCGTTGTTCAAAGCGGCAGTAATCTCTGCGGCCCTTGGCCTGTCCAGGAAACGGGTACATGGGGCACTTCTGGTGATTAGTGCAGGGGGCGATAATCATTCCTTTCTCTTTCTCCACAAAGCCATTGTCCCCAGATTCGGTAATACCTTCATATTCCGTGGAGCCCGGGCTCGAGATATGCCGTTCCAGAAGCATCTCACGAGCACCTGCGATGGCTTCGAAGCCCCTTTGACGTCCTTTCTCCAGAAGAATGAGAACACCTCCTTCAGGATCAAGCATAGACCATAGATTCTTGACGTGCTGTTTCCGCAAGTAGTCTTCTTCGATTTCAAGGAGGGTGTGAGGGGCAATAATGACGTCGTACTGTTTCCGTTTCGGAGGCGCCCTCTCATCCTCCAGCGTTGGCGTGTCTCGGACATGGACATAGTCAGGGAGTCGCGGGAGAAAGGTCGTATTCTCGAGCATAATGCTCGCACGACGTTGCAGGGCCTCCGACCCTGCAAGCACTGTGGACTTTCCCATGGGGATCGGAGCATCCTTGGGATGATCTGGAACCATGACCTCATATTCGGCACGAACAACATCCCTCCACGCCAGGATACCAGCACCTCCTCCACCAGCGTCCAGCACTCGAGGCCCGCCCTCTTGAGTTATCAGCCGACGAATCCAATCTGTCCCTAGGCGCTTTCGCACTTCTACCAACACACTCATCACAGAGGCATAGATTCCGGGGTACAGAACGGCCAGGAAGGTATTGGCTTCCATCTCTCCCATATGGTGTTGTGATGCACTTAGAGGGATGGGAAGTTGCGGGACCTGGTATCTTGGAGCGAGTGTCGTGGTAGAATGAGGCAGGCGCCGTCCACCAAAAGTCCGGTGGGCAACCTCCGAGATATGTTTGTTGGAGTAATTGGACAGGATGGCAGAGATCGGCCCCGTCACTGTTTCACGCGGGAGGAAAATGGTACTAGGATCCGTGCGAAATTTCCCCATCTCAGTAAGGGGATGGAACCTGGGTGTGGAAGAATCAGGGTCCGCTTCTTGCGCAGCTTGCTCCATCATCAACTCTCCCCCCAGTTGTTCAGCTATCTCCCTTGCACGCTTCATCACAGGCGTCTCCTCTTCAAGCGGAGGATTCTCCATATCATATACCACCGGGATATCAGAGTCATCTGCGTCGTTCTGTTCATACTCCACTTCTTCGAAACCTCCCTTTCCATCATCTCGTAAAAGCGTGTTCCGCTCTTTCTCTGCTTCCTGACCTTCTGGCTCGTTTCTCGTGATAATTGGCTTCCCATAGAGACGTTCGTAGAGCTGAGTTTCGACTTCGTTCAGATGGCCTTCTGGTAAAGTCTCTCCGAACCGCTGCCTGACCAGTCGGACCTTTGCCTCCAGGGCTTGGTGATTCCGATGTCCAATTACCCCGCTGAAGACATCGTCCAAGTCCCAATCGTCGACGTCCAGGATATGTTCGAAGTCATCCAGGAGGTAAAGTTCATCCAGAAGTTCTGCCACTTCGTCTGCATTCTGATTGATGCTGTCAATCAGCGAGTATACTTCCTCTCTCCTCTTCGCCAATTCCTCCCCTGACGGCGCGATAGTCGACGAAAGCCTCCTGAATGTAGACCATCGTCCGGTCTCTTTCCGGTCCAATCTTTTCGCGTCGATCGAGGGAAAGGCGGCGAAAGACAATCTTCGTTGCGAGCCTGGGGATGTTGCTGTCAGTCTCCCGGACTCATGATAGAGGAGCTGGCGGGAAGCAGCTCGCGACGAGCTCCGGACGACGGATTGCAATAGGTCACGAGAGCATGACCAGCAGGCCTTGGATGCCTGAGATCTGGGGAGCATCCTGCAGCTCCCCTTGCACCAAAGAGCGAACAAGAAAAACTTATTTCGAGCTTCTTGAAAGAGAACAATTTGTCGGCGACTCAAGCTCTTCAATGAATTTCTTTTGCCAAGACATTTGTAGGTGAATCAGCAACATGTGATTGGCTGGATTGCTTACACTGGCGTGTTACATAAGCAGGTACCTGACCTTGGAGCTGAGCACGGGTTGAAAAGGTTGAAATAATTCAGAAACTTACCTAGGTACAGTACCTTGATCTACTTGTTCGGGTCTACTAAGATGAGAGACCACCTCTTTTTGTCCAACTAGGGACAAGATGACAATCAGGTACCTGGACATCATCCATCTATTGTTGTGGCTTGGTGCAGTCCACATGTCACATGACCACTCACACTAGATGGACTAAGGGTCATGTGACTGAAAGGCACGACATTCTCGCCGAAATCTGCAGATGCAGAGCTGTGAGCGGAGAGGTCAGAAAACCTCCAAAAGCCTGAGACCAGTTGCGAGGTTTCTGGGTCACGTGCATTTCCTAATATGGCTAGTGTTTGATTTTACCGCCTTCCGTTTAAAGTAAGATTATATACCGCCCCGCCGGCAGAATATACGATTTTAATTGGCGGAGTTCTCATCATTTCTGCAATAATTGCATATCCAGATTGGAACAGTCCATAAGTACAGCAATGTGTGTAGTTGAGTAAGGCGATGACAATATAGCAGAAGGCACTGGTCATTAATGCAGATAAATCACTATTTCGTATGTATGTGCATACAGAAGGTTTACGCATCACTCTGCATCGTCTCCCATCACGACCTTTAGAGATGCTATACACTTCATGACTTCATGTTCTAAAGCGGTCAGTTTAGCCATTACGGCAATGAGACTCGGATCTTGGCTGTCGATCCGAATCTTCTCTTTCACTTTGACCTCCTCTCCACGCCAGGTGAAGATTTCGCCAGCCTCATCATGAGGCCGATGTCTGGGCCCAAAGAGTTTTTCTCGTAACGAGAAACCAGTCAAGGAGATATCTGGCGCAAAAGCCGTTGGCGTAAGAGAAGTGGCATTTGGTTCGAGGGTTCTTAAGTGTAAGACAAGAGCTGCATCTGCAACTGAAAGATGGAATGAGACGTATGGCGGTAAGGGAGGATCGAACACCTTTTTTGGAACTTGTCAGCATACGCAAGTTCCACATATGCTATGCCCACGTGGAACAGTTCACATACATTATCATCTGCACTGGTTTCCCACCACTGACCCCTCGAGGTATCTGCGTCCCCCTTTAAAGTGGACCTCGCTTCCGCAATGTTCTCATATAGAAGTCGCAGTTGGCCGGATATAAAATTCGCGTCCAACGGATCCCCGGTCCAAGTGCTAACATCGACCACGTCCAAGCTCTGATTCACCAGATCACGCACAGCTGCGAGTTGAGTCAATACGAGTTCCGGGGCTCCTGGGTTGTTAGATAAGCAGAGGCGGGTGCTGGGAGCACCACGAGGCGGAGGAAGAGAGTTGAGTCGAAGGTGGATGTCCTGTATGTATGGTAGCAATCAGTGAGTTAACCTGCTCCAAAATAAATCCGTCAAGGGAACTTCCAGAGGGAAACTGCGGTCAAAATATTGGGGGTCCCCCTCGAGGGGAGGAGGGGAAGCAGCAATGTAGTTGTTGTGATGACCAACTCAATCTGTCCTTGTACGCGGAGAGAGACGTACTCCTTTAACAATCCTCGTTCCTACTCTGGTGACAAACCCCTTGACACTCTCGGAACGCTGTGACGAGAGCACCAAAGTCGAACCTGGCTCCTTGGGAGCAAGCAGTTCAGCGCATTCCTGGAGACCCTCCCTCAACGAGGCAAGGGATTCCTGAAAGGAGGCCAAGAGCCATTCTAGCTCTCTCGACTACAGATATATTTGTCAGCAAAAAGGAGCTATATCGAAGCCGAATTGAGAATACAAGCAGTGTGTTTCCCAGACTACTATCAACGACTCATCAGACCTACCAGGGCCTTTTCTTCCTCCTGCTTGAGCTGTTCTGGAGGCAGCGGGGGATATGCCCAGGTCGCCATTTGTCGTTCTGGAGCTGGGGAATGATGACTTTCGCTAATTTCTCTCACGACTCCCGTTCTTTATTGGACCACGTCGGGCTTCTAGACCACAGAGGGGCTGTACCACAAATCCCCCAAAGACCGAAGGCTGCCTGCGACAGCTGCCCCGATTGATGAGGGGCAGATCGCGGCCTCAGGTGAATCGGGAGTAGACGGATCGTGCAATGAAACGCTGGAGCTCCTGTGGTGAGGTCTTGGGCAGCGGGGATAGACAGATCGACAACGTCACGACAGGCTGGCAGCTGGTTGAGGTCACGACTGCGGGTGAGCCTGGGCTGCCAATGAAGATCGGCGATGGTGGCTGGGAGGGTCCGGTCTAGTCTCGAAACAGCCTAGTGCATCTTTAATCTTAATGCCTAAAATGTTGGGGCTAAGCCAAGAAGAGGCTAGAGCAGCGTGCAAAGATGACGTAGGGCTCGCCGTCCGCAAATGGCAATCTTGGGACTTGGGGACTTGCAGTTGAACGCCGCGTAAACCCTGGGTGCTGGTCTCGCCTCTTATATCGCTCCGAGGATTCCCAGCCGTCAGATTCCTTCTTTAATCTCCAGTTGTCTCCTTTTCCCAGGCTCATGGTCCATTGAGCCCGTCCATAGGTCATTCCCTCTCTCGCTTCTCCCGAGAGGTTCCCTTTGCATTCTACATACGACCTGCAGTAAAGCTATTCACACTCCTCTAGTGAGCTCGAGGGTTCGAAACTGCCATGGCGGCAGGAAGTACGATCCCCTTTAATTAATTAAGTTCATTGGTCATTGTTATATTTTATCGTCCAATTACTGACGATCTGCCTGTCTCCTTTCAGGACCGATTCTTGGCTTATTGGCCCTTTTCTTCACAGCAGGAGCCATTCTGCTGATGTTTCTGACGTTCCTTGGTGGCGCAAACAACCATCGGCCATTGAACGAGATCTACTTCCTTCAGGCGAACACCTCGAATATCCCTGGGGCTCCAGCTGTGTCGAGATGGACATTCTGGAACGTCTGCAGCGTAGACAGCCATGGCAAGAGCCATTGCGGCACGTCTCACCCCACGTTTCCCTTTGATCCCCCAGGCCACAGCAACTTTGGTACGAACGTAAACGTTCCTCACCAGTTCATCGGGTAAGTCATTAGTTTCTCTCTCTCTTTTTTTTCCCCTCTCTCTCCCTAGGTTGTGGCTAGCAAGTTACTAACAGTACTGCAGAACGAACCATTACTTCCTCATGTCCCGTTTCATGTTCCCATTCGAGATCATCGCACTATTCTTTGCGGTGTGCTCGCTGTTTCTCGGTCTGCTGGCACCCTGCACCCGAATTGGAAGCTACTTGTCTAGCACGATGGCTTTGATTGCATGGATCTTCCAGATTATCACTACCTGTCTAATGACGTATGTCTCAATAATGCCAGATTAGTACTCCGTACTAACCATCCTTTTCAGTGCGTGTTATGTGGAAGGTCGCCATCACTTCAACTCCAACGGTCAGCACGCAAAACTGGGCCCAAAGGCCTTTGGCTTCATGTGGACTGCCGTCTTTCTTCTGACACTCTCCTCCTTCCTCTACTGCATGGGTGGCTTGACTGGCCGAAGCGAAGCTGGATACAGTGGTCGAGAGGCGAGACGTCGCGGATTCTTTGCTGCTAAGCGATCCTCTAGCACCAGATCCGGCGGAAGCACTGCCAATGGCCGCAAGGAGTACGCCTAGGCTGTCTGCCTGCGTACCTATGCCCAGAACTCCTTGAAGAGTCGCAGTCAAGTCGAGGAAGGTAGAGCATTCCTCTTTCGGCAATGTGCTTGAGCTGTCCCCGCTGAAGGTCTTTGCTGCCTTTCTCCTCGATTTGACGATGATTGCATTTCGCCTTTAACTGGCTGTGTTATTATCTGCCAACTAATTCCGCAACCTTCGAATCCTGCGCTTTGGAAAAAAAGACAGACTGTTATGACTACCATGCAATTTCCCATCTCCCTGACCCACGTCCCTCTCTTATGACTCTACGAGCACGTGATGTATGTCTTGTTTCTCCGACCAATTATCCCATTTCCTTGGAGAAAAAAAAAGAAGACACCTTAATGCCCCTGATATTGCACCCTTAACTTAGTCAGCAGGCTGATCTTTTTTTTTTAGTCTCTGATATATCTATTCTATAATCACTACTTCTGATGACTCCCACCCTGGTTGGGGGATTTTTATTTATGTGTTTCATATATCTTAATGTTTGTGATATATAGCTCTTTGCAGAGGAGGGGATGTTTGGTAGTAGTGGTAATAGAAGTAGTTAATTAATCCATGCCATTTCATCTACAACAACTCTACTTCCATTTCTAGTAATTGTTGCCGTTAGTTCTGAGAACCCTTCATGTAAAATAAACGAAAGCGAACCCTAACCACATCGATAGAAGCGTCGATGTTCTTTTCTTCTATGAATGAACAAACCTCTAAAAACCTCTATTCACAGCCAATGAATTTAAATACATAACAATCCCATGGCAGATCTATTGGTCTTTTTTATGTCCTGAACTGACATGAGACCTTTTTCCTTCTTGTCTCTCTTGGAAATTAGATTCCAATTGGACATGTCCTGTCTCCTTTTTTTTTCCCAAAATCAGGGGTCCCGGTCGACGAAGACAAAAGACCAACGCTGCTGGTGACGACCGCAAAAAAGATAACATAGGAAACACATAAAACCAGGGTCGTAAATTGCATGACAAAGAAATAAAGCCTGTAGTGGCTAGCTGGAAGGGGACGGGGAAATAAGAATAGGAGTGATATAAGAATGAGAAAGGATTTTGTCTGGCAACAAGGCGATCTGTAAGAAAGAGATTCTTCCGTATAGCATCAGAAATAATCAAAAAGAAAGTACTCTATGCAGAGCCATTCTCGGTAGCCTTGGGAGCATCAACAGCGACTCTGACACCACCCTTGGCGCCAACCTCTCTTGCCGTGATCTGCATTCCCAAATCCGAGTTGATGTTGATCATAACCTCAACCTTACCGCCCGCCTTGACATCCTTGACAGCAATCTCGGCAATGGGCTTCGTGACCTTCCAGATGACTTCGCGGATTTCCTCTTCTTCCTCTTCAGAATCAAAGTCAGAGTCCTCATCCTCATCGGCTTCCTCATCTGCTTCCTTCTCTTCCTTTGGCTTTGGTTCAGGCTTCGTGACCTTGATCTCACGGGCCCCTTCACAGACACGAACGAGAACGTCTCCTCCCTCCTTGGGAACTGCATACTGAGCAATGCGTCGAGCAGGCAGAGCAGTTTCCGCGTTAACCAGAGGGCGAAAGACGGCGTCTTCCGCAGACTCCTCGGTCGACACGAGCTGGACGCCGATGGTATTGCTGATGTGTGGAGTGACAGTAACAATGGGGTCAATAGACTGTTCGATGTCCTCTCTGTCGAATTCTTGGATCAGAGACGCCTGGTAAGCAGCGCCTCTTGCGGCCAGATCAGAGGGATTAATGGCGGTTGCCGATGTCGAGGGGGCGACGATCGATGTCTTCTCTGGGAATATGTTTTGGAGAAGACGGGCAATCTTGGGGGTGTGAGAAGTACCACCCGACAAAATAACCTAGATAGGGTACATCGGTTAGTGGCTTCTTTCATAGCACAATCTTTCTCTCACCTGAAACAGGGGAACGTGTTGAAACAAACCTCATCAATATCCAAAACATCAAGATTCGCCTTCTTCACGGCCTCTTCAATCAAGCCAGTGAACTGAGAGAACACCTTCCCAGCCAGGAGCTCGTATCGGGTACGGTTAATGGTCGAGCCAAAATCAATCCCGTTGACGAGACTCTCGATACTCAAGGTGGCATTGGTACCAAGGCTAAGGGCCTTCTTGGTGGCCTCGCCCTCCAATTTCAATTTCGCCAGCCCACGAGCGTCCTGTCGTGGATCCGCCTGGTGCTTCTTCATGAATTCCTTGGCAAAGTGATCGATGATGACCTGGTCCAGCTTCGCTCCTCCTAACTCGTAATCGTGAACAGTGGCCAGGATCGTGTACATTCCTCCGCGGGATGCGACGACGGCAACATCGGATCTTGTCCCTCCTAGGTCCGCGACAACGACCAGTTTATCCGTAACCACCGCCCCGGGTCTCGCATCGTAGGCCAACAAAGCAGCCGCAGGCTCATGGATGAGCTGCAGCACCTCGATACCAGCATCTTTGGCAGCCGCAACGAGAGCCTGGCGCTGGGCATCGGAGAAATCGGTGGGAACCGTGATGACTGCCGCATTGACGGTTTTTCCCAGGAAATCAGAAGCAGACTGTTTCAGGCGGCGGAGATGACGAGTTGTAATCTCAGAGACTGTGACGGTGCTGGGGTTTTCATCTGTCGTATCATGGATGGAAAAAGCCACCGTCGAATCGCTCTGTTGCGGATGCGCAGACTGGTGACAAGGCGTCGGATCTATAGACTTGAAGCTATACCCTCGATCAGCGCCTCATTGCCATAGAACAAATCTCCAAAATTGCAAGCGTGGTATTTACTCTTTTCCCAGATAATCCCTGAAGTACGCCACAGTGTTTTTGGAGTTGCGGATAAGTTGCGCCTTAGCCTGGGTACCATGGAATTCCTCCCCCTCAACATAAGACAGTATTGAAGGAATTTGGCGATCTGCAATTGACTCATGAGCCCCTGTGGATGACCTAAATTGCCGAGTTTACCCACCTCCTTCTTCATTGGCAATCACTTCAGCCTTTCCATCCTATTTCGCAACCAATTATCAGTAAGAATCCAGCAACACTAGACGTATGTACTGTTCCTATACGTGTGATAAGACTCACAGGTCCAGTGAAGGCGATAGAACTGTTGGAATTGCCGAAGGAGATACCTATGGCGAACCGCTCTGCCGCATCGGCAGTCGCGCCGTTTGTCCCGTCACTCATATCGACAAATTCGATTTAGGACTTGTAGAGAACGCTACAACGGTCTAAGGAAAACTACAGCCGTCGAACAGCTGGCGTGGTATTCCCAGAAAGAACGAAGGAACGAAGGAAAGAAAGAAAAGAGCGGGATGAGCGAGTTCAGCCGCCAAGTTAGCCTTTCGGAAAAAGTTTTGAGAGGGATTATTATTTGAGGCTTTTGGTGAAAGCGGGAAGGCACCAGTGGCTCATCCCCGCCTTATCGATAAGGCTGTGGCTATGCGATCAATCGCCTTTCTCATTCCTCAGAATTGTCCCAAGGTAAAAGTCAATCCTATGCTTCATATGTCATATCCACTTACTTTTCAAGGTTACGAGACAAGACATACTATGTAACAGCTTTTTTTTTTAAAAAAAAAAGGACGCCGACTTCCTCCGTGAAACGTCTGTTATTGTCAGCAGGAAAATGGATGGCTAAGGATCACCGTGTAAAATATGAAAGATCTCCTAAGCATTCTCCGGTGTCAATTAAAAGGGGAATGAAATAGTAATAAAGACGTTCGTGGTTCTTGCTGTGTAATTATTGAATGTTGCTTTGGCGTCCGAAATGGATTAAGCTCAAAATCACGTGTCTTTATCGATAAGGAGCATCGCGTTGATCTTCCTGCTCCAAAAGTTTGACCAGCTTCCTTCAACCTAACCTAGCCTGGTTGTGTTTGCCTCTTCTTCCACGCCCTGACTAAATGGGAGCCTGTGTTTACTCTGTGATGGTTGTTCTGGGTCCTTGAGACTTTTTCGCTGAGTTTTCCCTAGAAAGCACTGGGGCCATGACATCTCCTTCCATCCTGCTTCCGGGAGACCATGTCCCCTCCGATGTGCTCCCCTCGACCACGTCCGCTCCCTTGAGGATTGGACCAGGGCTGCGCTTGCTATATCAGCAGCAGGAGCCTCAATCGAAGACTTCACCTTCCGCCCACGCCATCAGCGCAACTCATGCCGGCTTATTATCCGTTGATCAGAAACGAAATGCGATCTCTGTTCTTTCGTTCCCAAATCGTCGCTACATTCCCACCCCCAACGATTTGGTGATTGCACAAGTCCATCATACCAGCCAGGATTACTTTCACTGCATCCTTACCCCACATACACCTCATGCTTTATTGGGACTACTTGCTTTCGAGGGTGCGACAAAGAAGACAAGGCCGATGCTCAAGCAGGGTGAATTAGTCTATGCCCGCGTTCTCTCCGTTGGTGTCGGTGCTGGAACCGAAATCGAGCTGACCTGCGTCAATCCTGCGACCGGCAAGGCTGAGCCTGGAGGCTTGGGGCCGTTAACGGGAGGCATGCTATTCGATGTCTCAACAGGGTTGGCCGCGAGGCTGATGAAAGCGAGCTCCTCATCTGCAGAAGGCGCTGCAGGCGTGGTTATACTTGATGAATTTGGAAAGAAGCTGGAGAGTAAGGGAGGCTTTGAAGTAGCCGTAGGGAGAAACGGCAAGGTCTGGGTCGACTGTTCCGGGAGCGGAGATATCGCTGTCAAAGCTACAATAGCTATCGGGCGTTGCTTGAGGGAAATGGATGAACGCAATCTAGATCCAAATGAGCAAAGAAAGTTAGTATCAAAGGTCCTACGAGAAATGAAGATTGATGTTTAATGTTTTTCCGACTCTCTGGCGATGGCACTTATATTAAAATAACCTGGAGCCAGAAAGAGCATAATCTACTCTGTTATATAGAAGTCTCCCTTTTCCTCTCTCTCTCTTTTCTTTCTTTTTTCCCCTCTTATTTTCCATCCGAGCGCTAGTAGGGCTTCTTGTGAGCAAATATTTTCATTGTTCATAGTCTTTCAAGTACCGAGTAAAAATGAAAGCAGGAAAAGTTCCGGGGAAAAAAACTAGAGTATTTACAATTGTAACCCTCAAAGATAATTAATGGAAACGAGTATAACAGAATTTCTATTCTATATGCACTGTTGGAGTCAGGCTGTCACAAGTCGCGAATAGTTAAATTAGGTTTGGACCAATCGACTAGCTTCCCGTAACAAGCTTTCAGTTTCGCGTCGCTTCACTCGATCAACACTTTGCAATCGTCAAGTCAACCTCGCGCGTGAAAGGTGATGCAGGTGCGTGCATTCCTCCATTTGTGAATATTTCTTGTCTTTTCTGTCCGTATTGAACCTACCTCGTGGCCATAATGGGCCAGGCATCCTCACAGCAACAGCTCGATCCCGAGAGCTCCTGTACGTTCTTTTTCTCTACCTCCCCCGAAATAGATGCAATTGGAGATAACGCCTCTAACGAGTTTGAATGGATTGCCAGACTCGACCGATCGCGATAACGATAAGCTTACGAGGATGCCTGTGGACAAGCGCCGTGATTCAATTCCACAAAACTCTAAGCGCAAAAGGAGCCCGTCGCCTGACCGTGATTCTACCCGTCGGACACCATCCCCATTGACGCAGGACTCCAGCAATGAGCAGGATGAGACTGAGCGACCTGCGAAACGAAAGCGAACTGAGAAGCAGAAGAAGCGAGAGAAAGAAAAGTCTAAGGAGAAGAAGGATAAGAAGGAGAAGAAGAAGAAACGCGACGAAGTAAAGGACCGTCCCGCTCCGCCCGCTGCGATCGAGGTCCAAGTCTCTGACAAGGCTCCATCCGATTTCGAGTCCGCGTCTACCCCTCCCTCCAGATCTCCGACAAAGCCCAAGTCGCACTCAAAGTCAGAAAAGAAAGCAGCCCAGCCCGGTCCCGAGTCTCAGACGCCTGCACCTACTACGGCATCCGTGAGTGAGCAACAGAAGCAGCCAAGTTTCCAACCGAATGGACGACCCGTTTCTAAGCGAGGCCATGTCTCCCAACAAAATAAGAACCTCACTGGATTTTTTAGCCCTGAGGAGGTCCAGATACTGGAGCACTACAAGGTCGACTTTTGTAATACAAACGGTCTCTCCGGCGAAACGTTCGATCGGATGGTCCAGCACTCGCGTCGGGACAGAAGCGATGAATTTCCTTGCCACCCTTCAATCATCACCAAGGAAGAATTCTGGCGGAATATATACGAGCTTCTTCCCAACCGGGATCGACGGTCAGTGTACAGGTTCATGCGCCGCCATTTCCAGGCGTCGAGCCAGAAACCGCATGAATGGACTCCCGAGCAGGACGACGAACTTGCAGAGCTTCATGCCATCCATGGGCCCAAATTTGCTCTGATAGCGAAGATACTTGGTCGGACTCAGGATGATGTGGTTCAACGATGGAAGAATAAGGTCGAACATCGGGATACGATGAGGACAGGTCCATGGTCCGAGGAGGAAATCCGGCAGCTTCTGGAAGTTTTGAACATGGTGCGAGATGCCCTCATCAATGCCGGGCAGGATGTTGGAAGAGACATTTACGAGATGGACGAGAGCAACATCGGTTGGGGCACTGTGAGCGATTACATAAAAAACACTCGATCGCGACAACAGTGTGCTGATAAATGGCGCAAAATCAAACGGTTTGTGATGAAATTACGAGCAAAAGGAGACCCCAACGCGGTTTACGATCCAAGCTTGAAGCAGTCACTCAGACGCAAGAAGGAAAGCGAGCCCAAATCAAATGGCCCGAAGCGACGGAGGCATCAACCAAAGAGTGCACGATACGTGACGTCTGAGGATGATGATAGCGATGATGATGCTGTGAGTAACTCTGCAGTTTCGTCGAGTACAAGGGACACGAGGAGCGCAGCAGCAGAGTCAATGCAAATAACGAAAGAAACGACGTCAGCATCCGTAACCGACAGTGACCAAACTCCTGAGACTCCGAGCGTCAGTGGTGGATCCAAGAAGGCTGCAACCAAGGACGATGGGATTGCTTCTACGGATGCGCCTGACACTTCTGCCGATGTATCACCTGGTCGAAAGTCAGCAAACGAAAAGAGAAAATCAGTCTCCCATGTGACGGACGCAGATGACAATTCAAGTGATGAAGAATCCAATGAAGATGAGACTGAGTCATCTTCTGATGAGTCCAGCGACACCTCACCTCCAGCCAAGAAAGCCGCGCCCAACAAGCCAACCACAACTCCGGGGAAGCCATCACCTCAGGAGCGTAAAACGCCAAGTTCTGTGAATAAGGGTGATAGAAGGGCCAGTAAGGGCTCCGTTGTTCAACGAGCTAGTTCATCTAGTTCTTCGGAAGAATCATCCTCCAAGACGACTTCGAGCGAAAGTGAAGACGAGAGACGACACTCGAAGATCACCAGCAAAAGCGCCAACAACGCGACGGTCAAGCGCAATCAAGCTAGTGACAGTGACGATAACGATAGTGAAGACGATTCCGACAGTAGCGAAGAGTCAGAATCCGGATCGGAGTCAGACTCCGAATCCTCGTCTACGTCCGAGTCACAAACGCCGCGTATCTCCAACGGAGAACAGTCCCGTCATAAGACTCTCACAACTTCCGGATCTCACACCCCGCGCAGCAAGAATCAAACTCGGAGGGACACTGGCAACCAATCACCAGTAGTCAAGGCCGAGAGCGAGTCCGACAATGACAGTATCAGTCCTGACCTCAAACATAGCAAAAGCGAGAAAAGAAGAGAAGAAGAAGATGAAGAAGATGAAGAAGAAGAAGAAGATGATGATGATGATGGCGATAGTGACTCCAATGATGCAGAATCCGATGACGCAGAATCCGACGATGAAGACTCCGATGACAGCGAGGACAGAGTTCGCCTCAAATCAGAACCAGACTCCGATTGATTGATCATCGCTGAAAGTCAAAAGTAAAAAGAAATGTGTATTTTTCCTTTTCTTTTGTGGTGGGTTTTGTGTACTGTGAAGGTTCGATTCACTCATGAATCCAACCATGTCGTTCGTTCATTAGTGAGCGATGAATCAATCGCTAGCTTGGTTTGGTTGCCTTTCGCGTTAATGTCTGTATGATATTATTGTGACTCGTCGCACATTTCCATATATCCTTCTTGGTTTTTTTTCCCCTTCTCCTAATCTGGCTAATTGTCGCTGATCTATCTGTTGTACTGTACATACATACACGAAGGGCTAAAGAAAAAAATGATAAAAGATATAATAAGTTTATCATATTAACTGATACTTGTTTGCGTTCTATGTGTTGAAACGCATACAGATAAATAATCCACTAGACAGTGAAGAGGGTTATGAAATGAAAAAGGAGCTCGAAGTCGCAGACAGAAACCAGTCTACTGTATTCCTTCTTTCTTCTAGCCTTCTAGTAAGGCATAGGTATATATATAAATACAACATGGTTCTATCAAAGTATATAGATAGATAATCTTTGGTGATTGTTATGCTTCAAAACCCGTTATCAATCAGTGATACTCCAATCCTTGCAAGAATCATACATCAATCACATCCAAACTCCGTACCCTCTTACAATTCATCTTTCCTCTCCCATCCGGTGCTTGCTGTTGTTGCTGCTGCTGTTTCTTCTTCTTCTTCTTCGTCTCTATCGAGTTGGCTTTCGTCTGCCTGGCTTGATTTCTGCTCGCTGGCGACTCTCTTTGCCAAAGCAGCAATCTCATCATCGTATGCGGTCCACTCTGGAACTTGCCGCCGGGCTCGATCCAGCTTGGGCTCCTTGGTCAGGGGGTTGTTGCACAGGTCAATGGTCCGTGCTGTCGCCAGCGCCTCGTCCGAGCACCATGTCTCGCACCAGAGCCAGTCCTGTGGCAGACTCTTAATAGGGATAACATGCTGCATGTGGTTGGGTAGGTCCTGATCCAAGTTGCTCAGGCTGGCCGGATCTGATGAGAGGGTTTGGTACTGGCCACGCAACCTGTCACCGGCTGCCAATTCCCGGAATCGGTTCAGGTCGACCACGTACAAAGCAGAGATGTGATAGGGCAAACCCTTGAGGAAACTCTTCCAATAACCCTGCTTCCAGAAGCGGAATCCTTCCATTTCTGTGCGTGAGT